TTTTCACACAGATCTTTCCCATTTCCTTGGCCCCTACTCCCTCCTCCCATCAAACTGTGGGACCCTGTGATTAATGTCTTCCCTCACTCATTCTCACCTCTCTGTTCCCACTTTTCCCCAGCTTGGATCCTAATTCTTGTTCTACAATAATGGTCTTACATAGGATTTATCTTTAGAGGACTGAGTTCACCTGGCATAGTGTCTCCAGTCCCTCCCAAGTTAGGTAGTAATTTATAAAATCATTCCATCATGTGAATGTACCATAATTTCTCAATCCATTTCATTGTGTTTGGAGATTTAGGCTGTTCCCATATTCTTGTAATAGTGAATAACGCTGTTATGAACATTGGTGCACAAGCCTCAGTTCTTATTCTCTTGGGTATATTCCAAGCAGTGGAATAGCTGGGTCTATGTTCAGCTTTTTAAGGAAATGCCATACTGCCTTCTAGACTGGTTGTATCATTCCACAATCCCACCAACAATGTATAAGAGTTCCTATCTCTCCACATCCTCTCTAACACTTATTATTCACTGGCCTATTAAACTTTACTACTGCTACTGGTATCTCATTGTTGTATTGATTTGCATCTCTCTTATTGCCAGTGATTTTGAGTATTCCTTCATGTGTCTGATTGTCATCCAAATATCTTCCTCTGAAAATTCTTTCCATGTTTTTGTCCATTTTGTATTGCTGTTATTAGTCTTTTCCTTGTGGAGACTCTGTAGAATTCTGTAAACTTTTGATATAAGACCCTTGTCTGAAATGGTATTGCTAAATTATTTTGCCCAGTTAGTAGGTTTTCTTTTCACTCTGTTGGAAAATATCTTTTATGAACTCAGGGATTTAATCTTTAGAAGATCCTATTCATCAATTTTATCCTCTTCAGATTGTGTATTTCTGGCTATATTTGTCAGTCTTTTTAATACCATGGACTAGGCTCTCTAAACTTGATCCTAATATGTCTTTTATGAATTTTATGGTTTTGGTTTTTATGACCAGGTCTTTGATCCTGTTTCAGCTTTCTACAGGTAGCAGTCCAGTTTTTGAATTCTATACTTATCTTTTAATTTGGAGAATTTGACTATGATATATCTTTTTGTTCTTTTCTTTTTGGGTATAGTCTATTTGGTGTTTACTGGGCATTTTGAATGTGAATTTCCCCTTTCTTCAAATTACTTGGAAATTTTCTTCCACCATTTTCTCAGTGACTTCCCTGTCACTCGCATGTTCTAGAACTCCAGCCATATTTATTTTGTTCCTTTTATGCCCTCCCTCATGATTATAATATTTTCTTCATATTCTTTACATTTCATCTCTAATTTTTCTTCAAGAGTGTTTCTAGTGAGGTTTTTGTCTTCTAGCTCACTGATTCTCTGTCCCATCTATCCAGTTCTATTTTTTTTTTTGTCTGACTAGCATTCAACAGATTTTTTAGTTGAATTTTTTTGCACTATCAATTTGAAAAAAATAGACTCGAACAATGTTAATATATTTCCTTTTGGGTTTCTCCCCCAGAAAAAAATGATCAATATATTGTCAAGGAATTTTGGTGGTGTAGTTCATAACAAGTTGTACTGATAACCCAAAGTTTGTACCTCCCTGATTGTTCTGCTCCACCAGAAGCTCCAGTGGAGAAATACAGAGAATCTCTCTTCCCATCCAATTTTCAACCTCCAAAAACCCAATGGAGAGTCATTCATGAGTCTGAAAGCCGACAATTTAAAAATAATATTTAGAATTTAAATTTCAATTATCAATTCAAATTTCAATTTCATCTCTAAATATTATCCAGGCCAAATTTTAATTTCAGAAAACTAATATTTATAACTAGATTTTTCATTGTTAAATGAGTTTTTGTAATATATTTCTAAGAAGGAGTGAATGAAATGTTTTTATTTTGATTACTTTGGAAATGAATAACCATCCAAAGAAGAAATATTCAAAACATTTAAGTTTGCTGTAACACCAATAAAAAAATTCAGTCTTCTTAGGTGATATGAGGTGAAGATTTTTCCCTTGGTGAACATAACAAGTAATTTTTTTCAGTAGGAAAAAATATCTTCAGCATACCACAACTGGTCCACACAATATTTAAGTGATATTACAGATTAATAAATGATGTATCCAATTCATCAGTCAAATAATTTGGTCTTTTTATTGATCTAAAGGAATTTAATTGGAATATACTGTTAATTATTCTGTTCATGACCTTTGGCATGAACTTTTTACAGTAAATTTTTAATAAGTAAACCACAGTTATATGTTCTTGCATAGTATTGCTAATTTGGGTTTAAGTTTCCTAAATTATACTTGCCGTATGTAGCCATGGAGATGCAATATGTGAAATATTAAATTGTTAAGTAAAGATCCACAGTCTGCATATACCATATGGTTTATGAAATGAAGACAGGCAGTTTTCCAATGGAAGATTATTATAAGTTGGGACTGACATTATGCAGTAGGTATAAAAATACAATATTTATTTCCATATATAAAGACCAGTTCCTGATAATGTATCTGCCATAGGTACATATCCTAATTTTATTTGGCTATATTAAAATTATCATAATAATGAATGTTACACCTAACTAAAGGGAGCTTTGATGTGTTAAGGGCTTGCACTACCAACCCAAACATAGTCGGTTCAGATCACCAGATGCTCCATAAGAGAAAGAGGGGTAATCTCTTTCTATTCAGTTTGCAGGCCCTGAAAACCCACTGGAGGGTCAGCTATGACTCATCTAACTCAATAGCAAATAACAAGAATAGCTACATAACTATGTGACATTATTATGTTATAAAATATTTAGCTAGAAAAAAAATAGAAAAGGATAATGTTAGTAACTCCTCAGAACAAAGGGAAAGAAAAACTTAAATTACACATGTTATTGTTATATGGCTTGAGTTGGAACCGACTCCAGCAGATTTTCAGAGGCTATATATAAATTTCTTAAAAGGAGATTCCTCAACTTTCCTAGCTCATGAACTCAAACCATTTGCCTTTGGTTTGGCAGTGTAGCTCCTTGCCAATAGGCCACCAATACATGTTTATATGTGATAAAAATGCTTGAATAGCTTTGCTGTAATATTTCTGGGGAATAATGAAGTGTGAGGGGAAAGTTAAATTATGGTTTATAAAAATTATTGGCTCTGTAATGTAAAGATGCATATGTAGTATCTTTGACTCCTATTGCTCCCCTATTAACTCTTTTTTGAATAATCTGATGATTAGGGACATGTTCTAATTTATTGGATAGGCAATGTCAGTCCCAAGTCACATGGTTCTAACACTTTTCTTTTTATCTAATGCTCATATATGATTGCAGACCTTAATTACTATATAAATCAAAATGCCTTAGACTTTCAAATAACAGAAAATCTGAAGTTAACTTAAATACAAGAAAATTTCTAGTAATGATGCTTTCAATAGCCAAAGATTTGGTGACGTAGTTGCATTACCGATCCAAAAGTGGCAACTCTTTGGCAATTCAAATCCATCAACAGCTCGACAAGATAAAGATGAAAAATTTCCTTCCATATTATTCAGAAACTCACTAAAAACCCAAAATGTGATGCATTTTCAAGTATAAGCCAATTCCAAAATGACAGATATATGCACACATATGTGTGTACGTTCATGCTTATATACACATATGGAACTTCCCAGAACACTTAGTTGTGTGAATATAAAATCAATAACTAAACTCCTGTTGAATGGAAGAAAAGAACACTCCATAGTGTAAAATCAGTAAGGATGTGCATCAGGGATGTATCATTCTCCAAACCCATTCAATTTGTATGCTTACCAAACCATGAAGCTGGCAGCACCAGGGTCAGAGGAAATGTCCTCATCAGTCTGTATTATGCTGATGAAACAACTTGCTGCAGAAGATCTACAGGTTTTCAATATGATTACATTTCAACATCAAGAAAATAATGGTCCTCACCACTGAGCCAATAGACCACATCATGACAGGTGGAGAAAGGATTGAAGTTGTAAATCATTTCATCAATCAATACCTTTGGCACTATAAGTCAAGAAATCAAAAGATGTATTGAATTGGGAAAGTTTGCTGTCAGGGATCTCTCTAAAATGCTAAAGAGCAAGTGACGTCAATCTGAAGACTAAAATGAACCTAATTCAGGTCATAGTCCTTTCTATAACTTATTACACACCTGAGGGCTAGACAGTAAATAAGAATGATGGAAGAATTGATGAATTTATGTTGTGGTGTAAGAGAAGAGTACTGTATATCCCATGAACTGCCAAAAGAACAAACAGGTTTGTCTTGGAAAAAGTGCATCCAGAATACTCCTTGGAGGCAAAGATAGTGAAGCTTTATATCTCATACTTTGTGTATTTTGCTGGCACAGACTATTCCTTAGAAAAGGACATCATTCTTGAAGTCTGGAATGTCAGCAAAAGAAAGGAAGACGTCAGCAGGCTGGATTGACACAGCGACAACAGCATTGGACTAAAGTGTGTCAGAGATGGTGAGGATGGCACAGGATAGAACAAGGTCCAGATCTGTTGTTCATAGGATTGCTATGAGTCATATTCAACTCAAAGACTCTTTACAACCAACAAATATATATAGGACAAGAATGGGCAATCTTATCCTGTGACATTTCTCCCTCTGAAAGCCTGCTGCAGGGTTAGCTATGAGTCAGTTCCAAATCTATGGCACACAACAACATCAACATACATATGTGTGTGTGTATGAAATATATATCTATTTGAACTTTGATGGTGTATTATGGTGTAATTTGTGCTGTGAACTCAAAGAGCAGCAGTTCAAATCTACCATTTGCTCTGTGAGAGAACTATGAGCAGTCACCTCCTGTAAATATTTATTGGCCTGGGTCACACTGCTGTGACAGAATCAGAATCAACTCAATAACAGGGAGATGACTTATGCAATCAATGTACTTTATACAGAATAACTACTTTAATACTCACAAAATCCAGTTAGTTTGGTACAATTCTTATTTTTATTATAGATGAGGGAAAGAGAGAGAGAGAAAGAAAGAAGAAAGAAAAGAAAGGTGGGAGGGAGGGGAGTAAT